TATATATATATATATATATATATATAGGAACAAACAGTGGAAGAATCTGATTTTTATGAATCATACTCATACACACGCATGTATGTACCTTGGATAAGCGAGCTGTTGAGCCACTTGACATAATAACTGTTCGGATATAAAATCAGCACTTCGTTGCTGGCAATCGAAACAGGAAGCAGCAAGGTTGCTCCAACGGAAACCGTCAGGGCAACGGTACACAACCAAAGGCTGATCCTGTACACCGTAGCCTCATCTTCGTCCACGGAAAAATAATCCTCGCGGTCTTTTCGGCGAAATTTCGCGATTAACGCATAGCTCGAAACGTAGAGAACCAAAAACAAGAGAAAGAATATCTGAAACAGTCACAAAATGTCTTCTTTTTTATACTTTTATACTTTGTGTGTGTGTGTTTGAAAAAATTTGGAAACTATAATATTTTATTTAATAAGTTCGATTTGTCAATATTTGTCAATGTACGTATGTATAATCATCCTTAATAAACAATATGCCACATAGAAGACATTCGAGTATAAAAAATAAATTCCAAAGAATCAGCTTCTCTATACGATTACGGTGATGATTAAGGCTGTAATGTTGGTACTCGTGGATGTGTGTTTTTGATTATATATTGCCAACAGAGGAATGATTACAATGATAATCACACAATTTACATTGTGAAGCAATACTAGATGCGAAGAATAAAAGGAGAACGAAAAGTTCTCGTCTTTCGACATGACACATCCCACCATCCACCGATGTAAAAAGTCAGTCTTGAAACATGCAAAGCTAGAAATAAATGCCGGGATCAATTGCAGCTGTAGAAGTGTAACTGCGACGAAACAACGTTACGTTGAATATGATTAATGACGTCAATATTAACACTGAATCCACCACGATCGCTCGGAAACGTTTTCAACATTTCGTTTAGAATTTTTTACATACAACGTTATTGCACGGCCATTTCATTTCACGATTTTTTTTTGTATAGTATACCTACAATGAATATCTTTCAATATTTTTTTGTATAGTATACCTACAATGAATATCTTTCAATATTCACTTCTTTTCCTATTGTTTGCTTTCTGAGAAAAATACATAGCCTGCCTTACCTGCCTACGGTATAACGACCGGTCATTTGACCGGTTGAACGATTCATATTTTTTTGTAATGGTAGTGTAGTCTCTCGAAGACACAGTTTTGAAAGTCGTTACAAATGCAAGCCGTTAGCGTGATCTAAAACGTGACATAGATTTACACACGAACGAAAAATGACACTTAATACGTTTATTTTTTCCTTATTTTTCCAATATATCTCGATCTTTGTCACCGTTTTATCTATGACTGTATAAATAAAATCGTTGCGGGCTAAAATAAATGTAGATATATCCAGTTTGTGAGGAGCTGGCATTTTTCTCACAAACTATGAGTAGGGAGAGCTTTGACCGGCCACCGGTAGGTATTATCACGGTAGGAATCACGGTAGGTATACGTGAAGTGTCGGTAGGTTAGTGTCAAGTTACATCTGCTTTAGGCTCGTCGAAAGATCTCTTGATCATAGGTAGAAAATATTCACAAAACAATGGAATTCTACTACAAAATACGTGACTCGATAAAAGTATCAGTTAAGAATTGAATTTGAATAACGGGTTGTTTGCCAAACTCCTTTGCCATTTACTTTGAGTTACAGATATGATATAATGTATCAACAGCTGTCGCCCTAAATTTAAATATTTAGCAAATCACCTACGATTGCAACAATTTCACTGCAGTACTGATGATACTAGAAATGTAAACCTGTCGTTTCGATAGACCACTATCATTAGCCGAAACTTCCGGTATAATATACTTCTTCCGTGTGTCCCTCCTGATTATATCGAACGCGCCAGCATTAATTTTCCATTCTCTTTCCCCCTAGCGTGTCGTGTAACAAGTCGATGGCGTTTCCTTTTAAACGGTACACGAACAATGCACGTACAAATACAAACACGTCATTGCAGGATCAATAGCAATTGATTCAATAGCAATTCAATACCGACATTATAATCAAATATTGATAACTTATCGGCCATAGATTGATCGATAAAAATGTTCAATAGATTTCACGTAATATTATTGATAAATATTGAAGCCAAAAGATACTTATTGTAATATTCTATTTACGAAAACAATATTGTTTCATTTTATGTGTGTGTTGAAATTAATTACATTATTTCAATGAGAATTCATCCTATTCTGGTAAACAAATTTAATTATGAACAGAAACAAAATCCAAATCTTTCGATAAAGATTGAATAGATAAAAATGAATCTTTTCCCGAGCTCTTTCAAAGTATGCGTGTATCTTTTATATCAGTATAAATGCAATGTTATTGATGCTTTTTTTGCTAGAAATATTATCAATTCATTATTCACTTTAAGGTTAGGTTTATTAGCTACTGTTTTTGGTGATTAAGTATCATGACTAGAACTGACGTATATATATTAACTTTATTAGCTACGATTAAGGTGGAAGAGAAACGAATGAGAAAACAACTACTGATTCTATCGTTCATTGCCCTCTTTCAACAACACACGGCCATTTTTTACTTTTGTCTTTTATGTTTTGTTTTCACACGTTGCCGGAAATATAGTAAACAGAATTGAATAAGAATTGTTAAGGCTGTTATGTACGCAAAAAGCAAATACAATCTGAGTAAATTTTACTTTACAAAGTGAAACATAACCTTATATTTCGAAGCAAACATTTTATAAAACATAAAAAAAAAAGATTAAAAATTGCATGAAATACCTTTATAAAGAAGAGAAACTGCAAATGTACGATTCCGATTATACACTAATGTTGATTAATAATAGTGTTTAATGATTTTTTTCAGTTGGCAAAGTTTATTCGAAAGTTGAGTCTAGAAGAACTAATCAACTATCATCTGCATTGTATAAAAATAGGTAAACACGATCTTGGTCATTTTTATTGGTAATTTTTTCGAGTTATCAATATTTATCTCTCGACTAATAGCATTTTAAGTTCAACATCCTCGAAGGAACAGTAAAGAGCGTAAAAAAGAGTGATAAGAGTGTTTTAATTTTTAAAAAAATGTACCGTCAAAGAACAAAAGTGACGTTAATACGATAAGAATAATAACAAAAAGAAAGATTCAAACGAACGTTTGAATCACTTAGTAATAAAATAAATTTTGACAATATTCATTTCTCGCTATTGCATTCTACATTTCCAATTGCAATTCCTGTTAAAATAAGTTTTGAAATTATGCCAAACAACAAGTATAACAATAAATCAGTTTGAACTGAACTGAACTGAACAAAAAAAAAAAAAAAAAAGGAATGGCCTTTCTAAACCAAGAATGCTGGCGACTTTTTTCAACAGAAGAGATTCCTATGCGATAGCCGCTGTCAAAACAAGTCTTTTTCTCACCGTTATTTGTCCGTTACTAGAAACGTCGAATGTACCTAGAAATGGCGAAAGGTAATACTTTCCAGAAGAGTGTCCCACAAATTTACGTACATCTTATACAGTCGGTAAAAAAGATATTGATTTCTACCATACATAGCACAAACTTGCATGGATAAGCAGAGAAATTACATTACATAAGATATGAAGTATAAAAAAAAAAAATATTACACTTTTTCATTTCTTAAGGTATAACAAATATTTCCTTAACTATTGCTGAAAGAAAAAAAACTCAAAAGAATAACTTCTCTTTCTTATTTTTTAATTAAACTATACTATATTTTCCAGTATTTTTCAAGAGATCTACGTCAAAACAGTTTCTCGAATATCTTATGAAAAACACTAGGGAAAGCTTGCACCTTATCATGCACTTGATCGAAGTGAGCTTAATGGCATATTAATGGAGACTAATGTCCTAGGGAGTATCGAGAAATTCTATGCAACTATGTCCAAAGTGGATAGACAAGATCGTTGAAGCAATTGAAGAAGCTGCGTAGTTGGAAACCGCTTTTTGCGATTAACCAAGGTAGAAGGAAAAACCGGTCAGGGATCAGAAGAATGCAATGCGTGGTCAGTGACTCGGCGAGAAAGTATCGAGAAAGAATAAATCGCAATGAGCACATTTTCACATTCCTTCGTGCACTGCACTGACTAATGATAATCATCCGGTTGTATCGAACAAAAAAACGTCAAATCAAGAGCAGATATACTGAGAGGAGATACATAATAAACGCAATGCGCGTGATGTTCATACATTTTTCGATACGTACTTGCTTATTTATATACAGGATGTTCTGAAACCTAACCTAAACAGCCAAATTGCGAAGACTTGATCTACGCATGAAGGGAAGGAAAAAGTACATCAAATTCGACATCAAACGTTATAGAATTATGAAATAAATATTGTATACATGAAATATATAAGTAGCAATGCATTTTTCATTTGCTGACAATTTTGTATCATTAATTGTAATAATACAATAAAAAATAATTTTCAACTCCATCAAGCTTGATAACAGATTAAAATGAAATTCCTGATGGAATTAAAATGAAATTCCCTATGAAATTCCTGAGAATTTTTCTGAGCTTCCATGAAATTACGTTTTTCATTTTCTGCGCTAGTTCTTCATGTGAAGTTTACCTCTGGCGAATAAATCTTTTGGCTTAAAGTTTTGTTTTAGTTTATAAATAAAAATTAAATGTATTCATAGATACATTTACTTCTAACTCTGTAACAAGGTGCTTCCTAACAAACTTTACATCGCATTTTTTCCTTTTTATGTGTAGATCAAGCACTCGCAGTTTGGCTGTTCAAGTTTGAGACACCCTGTATAACGGCCACTTTATGTACAATGTATTATACAAAACATTTTGATGTGAACTTACTGTGAACATATATTTAATATATAGCATGAACAGCTATCTCGAATATATAACAAGTGTTAAATCCACTGAATATTAAAGATTATAAATATTTTTATAATCCTATATTTACTTGTCCTAAATATGTACCTCGCAGTTTCTATGTACATTTTTAGATCTGTTTCAAGTTTTACCAATAAAATAATGAAGATCGAATTTCGTTAAAGTGTTAATGAAATTTCAAAATTTTGCATAATTTTGTATAAAAAATATATTATTAAGAAAACGTCCACAAAGTATCCATGAGCGTTCATATACCAACAAACGATATGCAAAACACATCGAAAAATAGATGCATGCGCGATTAGTAAGTATCAAGTACTATTGAAATTAGATACAATGAAATACATTAATTTTCATGTAAATATATGTACGACAATTTCAACATTAATCATCAATAAACACGGATACATGTGGTAATATTTTTTGAAAAATTTAAAAATTTAAAACAAATACTGGATATATTAATTAGACAAAGAGGTCTTAGAATTACATATTTTATTTTTTACTGTCAACTATTATAGGGTATATGCATCTGTAACTGCAGATTTCCGTTCTTTTTCTCTTCGCTGTTCATGCAAATTCCTCTCAACTTCAACATAAAAATAAAAGTTTCAAGATAAGCATGCCAGATTCATTACGCTATCACTTTATTATGCGAAATGTTCGTTATATAAAATTAATAAATAATAACGCAACGTGTGTATTTAATTTTCGCTTCTTATCTCACGTATAACGAAAAGTCCATCTTCAATTTTACTTCTCGTATCTCGCGAATTTTATAAAACGCACAGTTACAAAGTGGGAACAAAAGAATTTCACTTAGATAAGGAGACGAACGATCAGCATTTATCGCATCGTTTCTAGTTTCAGTTTCGTACGTTGAAATATTGGTTAACAGAAAGAAACGTTGAATTTAATCGCGGAAAACGTGGCAATTGTCTATTTGCCAGGAACGTTGCAAGAAACTTCAAGTACTATGTAGAGATTTGTAGTCAATAAACAAGGCTCACTACTACCACTATAAACATCTGTGATTTTTACTCACGATATTCTCCCGTACTGTATTGTGAAATAATTGCTCTCTAATGTCCGCTTCATCTTCCATCTTCACCTATTTGTCAGTGAATTTCTTTTGGCTGAACGTATCGTTGTCAGCAGCAGCAGCGACATTTTTTTATACCAGTGATTTTTTCCCGTAACACACCATGCCCAGATTTCCACGACTGACATAGGACGTACTCCCGTCTTGGGGAAAGAGCTTCTGGTTTTTTCTTTTTTTTTTTTCTTTTTCCCCGGTAAAAATTAAAGGCAGGAAACTACTATTGCCATTTCCCTGCGAAACGGATCACATTTCCTATATCGTTGCTTCTCATGTAACAATGAAATATACAATCACTGATCACCGATCTCCGAGTGCAGTCGGCAGTCTGGCAGCCTACTAAATACGGTGCGTCGTACCTTGTATCTGTTTTAATCGCAACCTGCCATCTAGACATGTGCTCTGGCCACACGCCACGCCAAAACTCACGCTTACCGACTGTTTCCTAATTCTCTAGCTAACACACTGAAATAAATAGAAAGGAAACGCTATATTTAATTCGTATCGAATTACGTTATTAATAAAAATATAGCGTAATAAATTAGACGTAAATATACAAATACATAATAATAAATTCTTCGTCTCAATTTCCAAGTAATCGCTGTTCAAAATCAGTATACTTTTTTATTGATGAAATATCATCAATTCAATAAATAATTCTCGGAGCAAAAGTGGCAACACTGTCCATGCTTTTTGATTTAGATTTTCATCACTAGTAGCGCTGCGACGCTACGACAGGGTGTGACATGAAAGTGGTAAAGAAATCCTAGGACAAAAAAATACATTGCACGTTAGATCTATTCATATACCTTGTCTATGTCCATAGTTATCCATAGGCCATCTTGCCATGTGCAGCTAATGCATGTTTCAATGTCCATAAATTAATCAATTTGCAACCTACGTTCCAAAGAACAAGCAAAGAAGAAGCAATTCGATAGCCTCTATCTATACAGCACAATGTTTGGCAGTTGAATTAGTAATAGATTACACCAATAAGGTCTTGTTTAAATCTTAATCTGTACAGACTCGTAAAACCTTGTTTGTTCAAAGTTTAAGAACTTCATCTCTAATCCAGGACCAAATCAATAAACGAACCGTAATAAACAACACAAAAGCAGGAAATACAATATCTTGATAATGTGAGTTTTTTCTTATGCTGGAATTGAAGAAAATGGAGAAATCAAGGCAGAGAAATCAAGGCAATGGCTGCATGAAACGCCCAACATATAGTAGTTTCTCATACCAATTGCTTGCAAGTAATAAAATAATAAAATATAATTACAAGTTGAAAATAAACACAAAACACAAGGTAGAATAACAGATGACAATTACTTTAAATACTGTTGCAAAACATCCAACATCTTGGTTTCACGATATATATCAAGACACAAGACTGTATCGATAAATGCCCAATGTACACTAGTTCCCTATACTGATTACTTGCAAATAATGAAATAAAAAACACAGTCACAAATTCAACGTTACTGTGAAATACTGAACACATTAGATTTACAACAAAGAAATATTTAGACACATGGGTTGTATGGATTATTAACTTAAGAGCTGCTATATAATTCTGATGCATGACATATCAATAATATATCTATTTTTGTAACAAGCTATTTTTTATATTCAATTGTATTATATGTTATATAATATTTCATATCAATTCACATATTTATTTCTTGTATATATGTATATGTTTAAGAATTGTTATACAGTATATGTTTAAGAATTAATTTATATAGTATGTAACAGTAGGACATAGGCTAAGCACAGGCTTCAAGTTGTTCAATAAAAAAAAAAAATCAAATTTTCATTTGTAAGAAAAAAACTAATTAGGTATTAATTTATGAAATTTTGTTGCGTTTTTGTTAGATTCTCAGCTGTTTTCCTATTCTATTTAAATCACAAACAAATATAAAAAAGTTACAAATTTCCCTCGTTATTAAAAGATGTAGACATTTTTCAATAGATCGTTTGAAAAATATTTAATTTTTCGTAAATTATATTGAAAACTTAGATCAAAATTCAGCGTAAATACTGATTTTAAAATGCACGTCCAAAGAATGCAAGTTAGTTGCTTGAAAATGTAAAGTCATTGTTGCTACATATGTACATATTTTGTACTTTGTTCAAATTCAAATTTGACAATAGATTTATTGGAACGAAGTATGGAGACAATACACAAAAGTGATATAAATAAACGTCATTAAAAAATGTAAGCTTATAGGTTATTTTCAAAAGAACAAGGAATTTATTAGAATAATATCTTAGTCAGTGATAATATGTATTCTACAAAATCACTGTATGAATCAGGATCATAACAAAACTTCTTTCATAAATAAAATATAAAAAAGTAAAATTCAATAACATAGATTGTTATTAAAGCAACATTTCATTCACAATTCTTTCTTCATCAACTAATATATTGTGTCCAATTTATAAATTCTGTTTTTAATGTGAATGTAAATTCCAAGAATAATTAAATTTAATAATTTCCTTTTCTTACCTTTTCTCTACTTTTAATTTTATGATTTGAAAATTGATATATTCGTAACATTATAATAAGTACATTATAATAATACTGCGTGCTGATAAATATAAAACTCGTACTAAAGAAGTTAATGTTATTTATAAAAAGATATATATTGTTTTTTTCCGTATAATTTGTAAGAATTGATTTAAATTTTCGAAAATAGACACCACTGCAACTCTAAAATTTCGATGACAAATTTTGAATTTGACTAGCGTGGTAGTTCCAATATTACTAGCGGTAAAAAATTGATGCATTTATAACGTTATAATAAATTACTGCACGCTAATAGTAAATATAAAACTCATACTAAAAAAAAAATTAAAGTTATTTATAAGAAGATACATGCTTTTTCCATATAGTTTGATTCAAACTTTCAAAAATTACATCGCTGCAAGTTAAAATTTCAAAAGATTTTGAATTTGACCAGTGTAGTAGTTCCAGTATAACTAACGCGACGCGCGTGGAACTTCGGATATTCTCTTATTGAAATTCGTTTGAAAATGTGTTGTTATAAAGTTAATTTCTTCTAATTTAGATTTAGTGTTGAGCAATGATAATTTCACGCTGATTCATCTTGCTAACTTGGTGAGTGATTTGATTTCGAACTTTAAAGAGCTCGTTCAAACTGTTTCTAAATAATGGCTTTGAATGGCGGCCATTGCAAATGTATTTCACTTTTTCCGTTATTTGAAACGCAACAAAAATTACGTGAGAAAGATACGAAATATAAATAGTTGATTTATTTCAGTTTTTTCAAACGATAGATAGAACTTACAAAATACATAATATATAAATATAAATCTGAATCATGAATTTCTTTTTCAAGTAGTATGTATAAGTAATTATGAAATTCTTTTTTTTTTTTAATCCGAATTTGTTTCTAATAGATTATTTAATGATATACTACGATGATATAGAAAACTATATTTAAAAGTAAAAAAAAATAAAAGTTGTGCTGGAAATATCTGATAAATATCATATTTAGTTATTAAAAGAAACTAAATTTCATTTTTCCTCTCTCCGACCGAAATTTGTATATTCTTTTTTTTTACAGTGCATGTTTATTCATGTAAAAATCGCAATAACAAAAATAATTCTAATGTTATATATATGTCATATACATAATTATATATAAGCTTAATAGACTGTTATATAACTATACAGTTTCATTTCTCTGTTGTATTACTTAGACTGTAAATTAAACTCGCAATAGAGATCAAATTCGTTAAGATAACATTTTGTAGCTTTTTTTATCGAACAACATCTCTTTATTAATAAAAATGTGATGTTACTTAGCGTTTAACATTAGCTTTCTTTTTTCTTTTCTTTTTCCTTCTAGGAGCAATAGTTTACTCATATAAAATTCGCTATTAACGGTGCTAAATTGATCTGCCATTAAAAGCGAAACTAAGTAAAACTCCATTTCGCTCTATACATAGTCAACTTTACGATTTATTCATTACTTTTTTTTTTTAATATATATATATATATATATATATATATATATATATATATTTACGATGTGGAACACATTTACCGCCAGTAAGGCTATGAATTCCGTTTAGGCAAATTTAACCAAGTATCACAGATTCTTAATCCTGCCAAAAAATGCAAATCTTTGACGTATTATCAGTGCGAACAAATTTACCTTAAAGGAATCCCTTGAATGTTAAATCAAAATGAGCTGTAAGATCGTACAATTATTAATTTTTCTTTTTGTAATCGTACTACTTTAAACGAAATACACAGAATTTTGGGTTGATTTGAAATTCAATAAATTTATTTGTAGTTATTAATAAAATAAACACAAAAATATACTGAATAAAGACAAATCATGCTCGATTACATTAAACGATAGCTGGTTGCATTGTACTTAGAGTTAAACGAAAGCGATTACATAAATTTTGACGTTTGGTTAAAAAAAAAAAAGTTTAAGGATCTTTAGCCAAAATTAAAAATCTGTGTATATTACATGTCTAAACAATCCTCATAGTGCACTGCATACAATCTTATTACGTTAACAACAATGTATCAATATTAAATAGCTAATCTGCTTACAAGCCTCGCTTAAGTAGAAAATTTTGCTTGAAACTTGAATTTAATAGGATTCTCAAACAGCAGTCCTCTTCGAAAAATGACCAATAGTTGCCGAGGGATTGATTTTTATTAATTTGCTACACTGCTACCTCGCCGAAGTTCATGTGACCTGTCTCCTTGGCGTGTTGCCGAGCTTCCATTTGACCATTTAGTTTGATCTTACAATCATTGCACATTAACATAAACTTTTGAATGTCCGTGAATTGACGACTAGATTTTACTTCTTTCGCTAGTTCAGCCGCTTCGAATAATATCTTCTCATCTTCAGCAGGGAACATTGTTTGAATATTGCCACCCTGAACGTGTGCACAGAAATATTGAGAACTCAAAGAATCAAGGAAGGTGGAACTAAATATCAACTAATATCGTACTTACATCCAGTGGTTCCAAATACAGAGGATCATAATGTATTCCATCAAATATTAGAAAGACTCTTTGAGCATAATGTTGATCTTCTCCGAATCTATTAATTATAGCGTTAATACTGTCTATCACTGCTATTTCTAATCCGTAGAATTTAGATAATATCGACAGTTCTATTGCTCCGCCCCACGATTCTGGTTTTAAGATCCATTTACAGTATTCAGGGTTTGGCCGTCCTAGAAAAGCTTCAGAATACTCTACAGGATCAGACGCTACTGCGTTCGCTATGATCTCCCTCATAAAACTTGCGCAGGTAGGATCAACTTTGCCTGAAAATATCCTCTGAGTATATTGTGATTTATATATATACACATATATACATACATCATACATATATATATACACACACATATATATAACGAGTATATTAATACAATTTACATTATGTACCATTAAGCACATAACCAACGCTGGTAAACAAGCAAGAATTATCTGCGGGTACGACCTTCTTCATCAGTACACCAGGCGTATTTGTGAAATCTCTCTGGTCGATAATATGAGATCGTCCGATATCCTGATCGGACTGTTGTTTCCCATTGTAAAGTGGTGGTTTTTCCTCGACGATGAGTGTGTCGCCCGAGATGATGCCACAAGCCTCGAGAGAGCTGGTCTCGTCGTTCAGATTGATCGGACTCGGTGGGAAACCACCGAGGACGTGAAGCGCTTCAGCTGGTATTCCTGTTATTTCAACTAGTTTCGATCGCAATTTGCCTAGCTTATCTTGCGGCAGCAGTCCGTTCACGACCTTCTGGCCCGATTTCGTTTTCACTCTCAAAACATATCCGGCCATCGTTTATCGCGGACCACTTAACTGACTAGAAACGAGAATTTCGCCTGGAGGATCGTGCCAATCGGATCGGCTGTTAGAGCACAGCGCCACAGGATTTCCTTCGAGTTTCTCACTCGAGAGTTATATCACAGGACGGAATCACTCGTGGCGTTGATCACTCGCAACACATACGTCGCGTATTTTTTTTTCTTTTTTTTTCTCTCTCCAATACCGACTACTACCTTTTGCGATTCATCGTTGCACTTGACATACAAACAGACACGTACCGTAATTTTCACCACCGTACGAACAGCGTAGCTGCTTGTTGGTTATGATGTTCGCCAGTATAGGGATTTTCGTGTTGTCACGTTGACAGTGTTCCTTCTTTTTCTGTCTAATAATTCCAACATCCGGCAATAAAGGATAAATTACGTTTCAGATTCAGACGAGCTGATTCTACATTACCGATGCGTAATGTCGTTCGAAATATCGAGACGTGTTTTATCAAATTTTTCCGACCTGAAAGTGAGAACTATATATAGTAGAAAATATTTTTGCTATACTTTCTTGGTAACTCCTTTTTTTTTTTTTTGATTTATGAGTATTTGTTATACAGATGGATTACATGATACATTTGACAATGGTTTAACATCTGGGAAAACTGCTTATTCGACATTAGCGTTAACAGCGTTTTCCTTCGTACGTTATAATTATAACACATTACAGAGTATAGGGTCCCTATTCACGCTTTTTTTAAACGTGATAGTCAAGATAAATAGAATCTTAGAAATAGATTTTTTTAAGTATCGTTGATCTTACGTAACAGTAAGATTAAGAACGTCTTCGCATTGATATCTGCAATTTGTTTCGCTTCGTATGAAAGAGTTTGCGATTTCACGCCCTTCGAATATTTATAAATTTAACGGTGAAAAATCTCCAAAGTATTCAATTCAATTTCTGTATCTCAACTTACTTTGAACTGTTCGATCCATTTCAATATTCGCTGTCGTACAGAAAAGAAATTATTTCTCAATTTGAAGACTTTCGAGCTCTTGTTGATTAAATTGACAAATTTAAAAAAAATATACATATTCAGACTATTACGTTATACATTTTTCTTGCAAATTTGACGAGGGGAAACAGTTGGCTATTATATAAATAATTTGAAATATACGTAAGTACGCACGTTCATATCAGTAAGATTGAACATGTATGATATAACCTCAAAATTAGTAAAATTGAACATATACAGTATAACTTCAAAAAATTGAACGTGTATAATGTAAAGTTACATTTATTCGTTTTAAATCGAGTAAAGGAATTATAAATTCGGCGTTTTTTTAGCCTCTGAGCTTTTATTGCTAGAGTCTTACAATCTGTTGTAAACAAGCCATCTTATCGAATATTCAATCGACTTATTTGCCGCGCAATTCAAACGTGGTTAACAGCATCCATACATTATCCTGTATAATTTATAATTATAATATCTGTTCATCTTCAAGATAAAATATACCTACGTAAGGTAAAATAAAATAAAATAAATATTACATATTTACACGAATTTACTACACGCTGCTCGAGGTAAAAATTTTATTTTGTATTTTCGTTATTGAAAATTTCACGATCCTATGAAAACCGAAGTGTTTATGGTTTATAGGTTATTCTTACGGTGTACACGCTGGTACACTTTTGTCAAGATTTAGCTCGAGCTTCCTGACAACGCGTGTCGATTATCTTTTCACTTTCGGAAATACATATTTTTGCTTTTCATCGCGCGTTTCATTCACTTCCAAAGATGAGTCGTTCGTTCGATCATGCGAGAGTCTCTTTCCCTGTTTTCGGCAACAAGAAAGACATAAGTCCGCACACTGAAAGGAAAATAATAAAAAATTAATTAGCCATTTATTGTTTATGTTTTGACGTTTGCGATGGAAATAAAATGTGCCTTTATATATATATATCTATACAATTTTTAAATTTAATAATCTTTCGTACGCTGAAAGTTTGCTCTTAAGCTGAAAGTTTATTCTTAAGTTGAAATAGCAGTCAAAGAGTTAAATATATTGTTGCAATCTTGCAATATGCACGTTCTTGCTTGAACATTGAAATAATATTTATAATGTTGATAAATATCAATCAAAGTACATATGTATTTGGAAAAAGAACATTCTATAAGTACCATTTATTTTCTAAAAATATACTTCTATATATATATATATTGAAGTATATATGAATAGTATATGAATAGTATATAATATGAATATATATATATTGATATAGTATATATATAGTATATATAGTATATATAGTATATATAGTATATATATTGATATATATAGTATATATATTGATATATATAGTATATATATATTGATATAGTATATAATACGAATATATATATATATATTGATTGTAATATGAATAGTATATAATATGAATATATAT